AATATGGAGCATTATATAACTAATTAAACTCTCTATTTTCTAAGAAAATCCTATTTTCATTTTGGATTTTCAGTTAAAATATTTTAATCGGCATTAACTGCAGTGTGAGCATAGTTCTGAGCCTTTGGTAGTACTATACCTCTAGTGAGTTATATAAAATAATTCAGGTGGGTAGCTGCGTCAGCATGCGTAGGCTGCAAAGGAACAAGTAATAGGTTTATTCCACGCTGAAAAAAAGAAGAAAGAGAACACAACGTTTCGGCCGTGGAGCCTTCTTCAGGTGTGAGAGAGACAGGGCAGTAGGCAAAGGTTGGGAGGGAGGAGGAGTGAGAGGCGGGAGCAGGGGACAGAAAGAGAGGCCAATCAAGAGGTGTGAAGTCAGAATGGGTGCAAAGAGGTGTGAAATGAAACTTCCAATGAATGGAGAAAATTTAAAAGAATAGTAGTCTGTCGTTAAGAGAATGGAGAATGTGTGATCCTAGCTGCAGAATAATTTTAGTTTCGGTGGTCTTTCTGATGTATGAGTTCAGAAAACCGTCTTTGAGAACACAGACAGAGAGATTAGAGTGGTCGTGGCCGTCAGAGGTGAAATGAGAAACAATGTGCTTGAAGAGATCTTTAATCTTCACAGCCCTGACGTGTTCTCTGAAGCGGTCTCCAAGTCTCCTTCCTGTTTCTTCAATGTAGATGGCTGGGCATTTACTGCAAGAGATACAGTAAATAAGGTTGCTGGAGGTACAAGATGCTGTCTGGGTGATCCGGAATTGTCCTGAGGGGCCTTGAATGAGTGTGGTGGTGGCTGTGTACTTGCAGGTGATACAGCGAGCTATGGCCTATGCCATCATTGAAGACCCATCTCACATCCTTCATCAGTCTTTTGAACTTTATTCAACCTGCTTGAGATAAATAAAGTATTTTGAATTGAAATTAATGCTAAATTTACAGAAGCTTTCAGTGGCCAAAGAAGATTGATAGGTGACACTTGTAGTGCATTAGACATTAGTTAAATGGTAGCTTCATTTTATCCGTTGTACTACTTCTTTAAATCCACTTAGTTTGGAATTTTGTAATTCTCATACTGCCTTCATGTAGATGTCAGGCAATAATTAACACTACAGTATATTCCATAAATGTTTTCAAGTGGAGCACATTGTACAGCACCTAGGGAAAATATCGAAGTCAACCATTTTAAATCCATTGATCTAAATATATTGCACTATTTGCTGTAATGCAACGTACTGTACACAAAGCCATTCAAAAACAAACTAACCTTTGTTTTGTTCTCACATACAGATGCAGCCATTAAAAATGAGCGGGGTGCGCTGCAGTACAACGCGGTGGGAGTCGCATCATAATGCATCATATCACATCATACCGCATTAGACTGCATGCAAATTAGATTATGTTAATAGTATTCGGAATCACCTTGTAAAACCGCCAGATAGAGCTAATAAAGCTTAATCTCTCATACATAGCATTTGAGCTATCACCCGAAAACACCCGGTTTCAAATCCCAATCACTACTGAGGGACAGTCTTTATCCAATTAAGAATTTAAGTTGTAAACTCTTTAGACTTTTAATTTTAAACTGTGTATTACAGCATTTTAATCAAAAGTTGGTATATTTTATGAAAGCAAGATTGCTCAGTTGGACAGAAGCACACAACCTACCACCTTTATCATTAATATTTTAATTATGCAGAAATATTTTATGCATCAAAGTCTTTATGGAAGATATTACTAATAGTATTATTAATGAATGACCTTGGACTGGCTGTAAGCTCAAAGTATTACAGTGGTCCACTTTCTTTGTGACCGTTTTTGTAAATGAAAATACTTTATTTTTTCATTGACAAAAAGTAACATCACAGCATTTCGTTGATCCGATCACGTATTCGTTTCCAATCATAAGTAAGTCTTGAAAATCTCCGATTCACCATGCGTTTTACGTGCTCATAAACAATATTAATTTAGGAACGTAAACATATTATGTAAACTGTACTGTATATGGCTGGTCTTGGTAGTTTAAAGAAAAAAAAACACCAGTTTTCCATTTCTCCCTAAACATTTTAAGCATCAAAGTCTTACATGTGGTTATTTTGGAAATGTTTCAACGTGCTCCTTCTGACCATATTACTGTACGTTTATATTCTTTGTGAAAATTGATCGTTTTAACCTTTTCTGCAAATACGCTCGTTATTGGAGTAAACAAAAGTAAACTTTTAGAATTTAATTAATAGGGACTATAATATGGAATCATGTATCTAAAGAAATTAATAACGATATAATTATATTCAGGTACTGTAGCACAAACAGTAGTATAAAACTTTGCATTGATATGTGTATTGCTATTTCAGTGCTTGTCACATGGGTGGCGTGATAGGTTAAGTGACTGACTTATAAGCGTGAGGTCGGGTGTTCAAATCCAGCAATCGCTATGAGTTTTCTTTTTAAAATAAACATTTCTTTGGAAAACTAAAATAGCAAATATTATAGGCATTATATTGACATTTTTATATTTCTAAATATCACAACATGTTCGTACTGTATGTCCACAGCGGTACCGCAGGGTGTAGGGCTCAAACCCGTGTGAGCCCGAAAGCCCTACAATAATGTTCCACATTCGCCTGGCGCTACGGCCGAAGACCGCCCGGCTGGGTTACGTGACGAGGGGGAGTGATCATGTGAGGATTAGGAAAGCCTCTGACCAGTGCAGCTGACCCACTTTGAAACAGGCGTACAGTCTGGGGAGATTGCCCGGTTTTCACACCCCTGTGTCTGCTCGCTCTCTTGCTCTCTCTCGGGAGTGCTGGCTGTGCCAAATTTCACACCACAAAGTCTGAGTCTTCGGTCTACATTTTTTGTAAACAAACCAGTTTCACAAGTGTTTCCTCAGCTTCTTCATTTTCAAAGTAGAATAGGGCAAGTCTTCCAATGAAAGATGCTGCACATTGGTGTTCTGCACATTGGTGGTGGTGGAGGGGAGTCCCCATTACCTGTAAAGTGCTTTGAGTGGAGTGTCCAGAAAAGCGCTATATAAGTGTAAGCAATTATTATTATTATTATTTAGTATAATAATGTATATATGTGTATATATGTGTATGTGTATATAATGATTATAATTTTAGATAACGCGATTCCCTATTAATCAAATTCTAAAAGTATGCTTTTGTTTACTTTTGTTATGCTTTTTTTTTTGTTTAAGCGAGCGTATTTGCAGAAAAGGTTTAAACTATCACTTTTCTCACAAAGTATATAAGCAATATGGTCAGAAGGAGCATGTAAAAACATTTCCAAAATAATAATTAATTTCTGAGAAGTATGAGTTACTTTTACTGTGATAAAGAGCGCAAGTATTCATGGAAAATGTTAATCACTTAACTTTGAGTGTTTTGTGATATTTAGAAAGACCAACAAATTCAATATAGTGTTGATAATATTTATTAATATAGTAATAATATCAGTAGCAGTTTGAAATTATTCATTGTTATTAATAAATGACTTAGCTTCAAACATGTTGTGATATTTAGAAATATAAAAAATGTCAATATATAGTGTCAATCAATAGTGTCCATAATATTTGCAATTTTAGTTTTTCAAAGAAATGTTTATTTGTTAAAAGAAAACTCATAGTGATTGCTGGATTTGAACACCTGACCTCATGCTTATAAGTCGGTCACTTAAGCTATCACACCACAGACACAGTGACGTAGCATAGTGGTGAAACAGCCAGACACATATCAATAAAAAGTCTTATACTACTGTTTGTGCAACAGTACATGAATATAATTATATCGTTATTAGTTTCTTTAGATACTGGATTCCATATTATATTCCCTATTAATCAAATTTAAAAAGTATGCTTTTATTTACTCCGATAACGAGCGTATTTGCAGAAATGGTTAAAACGATCAATTTTCACAAAGTATATAAACGTACAGTAATATGGTCAGAAGGAGCACGTAAAAACGTTTCCAAAATAACCACATGTAAGACTTTGATGCTTAAAATGTTTAGGGAGAAATGGAATACTGGTGTGTTTTTTTTTAACTACCAATATCAGCAATATACAGTTTACGTACTATGTCTATGTTCCTAAATTAATATCATTTATGACCTCCAGATGCATAAAGCTCCTCTTCTTTTTATGCTCAGCTACTAAAAATTCAAAAAGTTGTAAAATTCTATATAAATATTCAATACTAAGCGGATTAAAATTTGCACAGTAAAGAGATTAAATTATTAAATCTTTTCACTACTGACCAATGCACCACGAATGCCCTTGTCGGTCATTTTGGCCAGACAATCACGTATCACGGTACGGCGCAGTGGCTCTTGTGTAGTTGCGTGCAGTATGGGTTTGTACCGTGCCTTTTGAATGGCTGCATCTGTATACATGTTTATTTGCTTTTAACAACTTCCCTATTGTTTGAGACTGTTCTTATGTCTTAGCTGTTCTGGGTTGTATTTGCATAGACAGACACATTTCATTCCATGTGTGGTTGAGCATGACAATAGGTCTCTGCTTTAAAGCCATGTAACGCCCGTGTAACTTCTCAAAATCAATAGTCTAGGCCTTTTCTTTTTTGTTGAATTATGTTTCTGTTTTCTATCTTCCCAATTTTGAATCAGCATTCAGCTCTTAGCTTGTGGCTAGGACCTGCATAGGTTTAAAGAAGTTCATGTGTGCTCTCCTTTAACATTCTCACTTTTTGGTTGCTTGCAGTTTCAGCCCCAGAGTGCTTTATAATTATAATAATAATTTACATACTGTAAGTGATGCATCTGTCACTGACATCACTGGGATTTCCAGCATTGTTGCCCCCACAAAATTCAGAGCCTCTCTAACCTTTCATTTCACTTGTTATTCATGTACAGTATGTGGGAGATTGGGAGTTATATAGGCCAGACCTTACAGCCCAGGGTCAGAGTGTTCATCCACTTGCTGAAACTCTCCTTGAAACCACTTCTGTTTTGACTGTCTCTTTTTTCCTTCCCAGGGTATGAATATAATCTTCAATGTTGCTCTGGCCCTCCTGAAGGTAAGTGAGAACATATATCAAGAGAGAACATTTACATTTTAAAAACTTGTTTTCCTGTGTACTGTACCTGTGAGATCAGATGTTCAAGCAGTATTGTCAGTTAAAACAGGACACTAAGAACATGACTGTATGCCCTGAATGGGCTAGGTTCTCATTTCATTTCTATCATGATTCAAAGAAAACTTGTGCTTGCTCACTTCTCTTGCAGTGTTTTCTTGCACACAGAATGCAGAATTTGCTGGTTTCTCCAGTGATTTAATTAACATCTATACATCTTTGGTATCAGCTGTTTTAAATTACTTGTAAGAGATAGCAGTGTTACCAAGGGTTGGTTGTGCTTAAAAGTGTAATGCATATCCTTAAAGAAAGATTCAAGGTCAAACATGACTTTGCACTTTTCACTTCAGGTTAGGGACTCCCCCTGTGCAACTTTTTTGCTTTTTGGGGTGGGCTTAAGAGGACAAATAGGAGTCTCATATTTAATATGTGGCACTTGACAGCTCTGTAATAAACTACTAGTGTGTCTAATTCTGCTTTTAAGCAATACGTAGTGTTTAAAATGACTCTTTTATTAATCACTAGGGACAGCACAATGGTACAGTAAGCTACTGCTTCACAGCTCTCTGGTCAGGTTTGTTAACAAACTAGGGACATTGTGTGTGAGGTTTGCATGTTCTCTCTGTATTCTCATGGTTATTTAGTGTCTCTGAATTAAATTTGTGTGTGGGAGATAGACAGCTGTCCATTTGGTGCTTTTTCTCATTTTCTGTGGTAAAGCTCAGTCTGTACAGAATATTTACAACAAATGTCAGCAGCCAAGCTTAAAGGATGGTAGTGGCTCAGTGCCAGGGAAATGTCACAGTCTTTCCTTTCACTGACACAAGAAGCAAAGAAAGTCATAGCACTCAACACCTGTATCTATGGCTGTTATTACTTGCAATGTTGAATAACCCTTCTAAGTTATCTCAAATAAAACTATTAACCAAGTAATTCAATATTATTTTTCTTCTTGTGTTGCTTCTTCAACACTGAGCCTCCTTTGTGGAGCTCTTTAGCAGCTGCAGACACTGGACAGGAGCCGGTCTTTGCTCTGGAGCAGGTTGCTAGGTAGCACCTAGCCATGTGATTTCAGGCCCACTGAAGCACATGTGGAATAGTGCTAGGCTCATTCCTAATGCCTCATTAATGGCTGCTGTGTGTACACCCTCTCCATTTAGAGGTGAATTTATCACTCAGCAAACTGAGGAAATTATATTCTAACGTCTAGGTTTGGGCAATGTGATGAATGGGACCTATATTTTAATCCAGGAAGGGGGAGGCACTATTGACAGAGGGTCCACAGCAAGTGTTTCTCTCACATTGGTATGGAGGATGATTAGCATTTTTGTGTTTGTTTGCTTTTGGATTGATTTTAGTAGGATTGACTCTTTTTTAATTTTCTCAGTTTACTCAACATTCATTGAATTACTTTTGTTAAGGACTGCTTTATTTTTTTTTAAAAATATTTTTTATTTTTTCAATACTGGGCTACTTAATATTTATTTTTACTGATTTGGACCTGTTGAATATTGTCAGGCAGGCATGATTGTCTTGACAAGGGGTTAAGATATACAGGAGTTCTTCTCCTGTATAGGACACTCTTCTTCCTCAAACACACTCTTTCTCCACACACACCCTTTTCCTCCACACACTCTTCTTCCTCAAACACACTCTTCCTCTACACACACAGTCTTCCTCCACACACATTCTTCTTCCTCTAAACACACACTCTTCTTCCTCTAAACACACACTCTTCTTCCTCCACACACACACACTTCTTCCTCAACACACTCTTCCTCTAAACAACACTCTTCCTCCACATACTCTTCTTCCTCAAAACACACACTCTCCCTCCACACACACTCTTCCTCCGTAAACACACTCTTCCTCCATACACATACTCTTCCTCCACACCCACACTCGTCCTCTAAACACACTTTTCTTCCTTCACACAATTTTTCTTCCACATAAACACTCTTTCCTCCACACATACACTCGTCCTCCATGTACACACTCTTCTACCTCAAACACACTTTTCCTCCACACACACTTCCTCTAAACACACTCTTCTTCCACAAACACACTCTTCCTCCACACACTCACTCTTCCTTCATACATACTCGGGAATGTGAATTTTGGAATTGTATGTCTTACATTACAAGGTACAGTACATGAATGAATTAGCTTCTCTGTTTTTTCTTGTTGTATTGTAGCTTGTTAGATGTACTGTGGCTTACTGTAAGATGCTGGTATAGTGTGGTCCTTAGGAACCCCCTGTTTTCTCCCATTACCATGCAAATGAAAGAAAAGAAAATGGGTAGATATTTTACATTGCCACATGAGAAGATGAAGATAATAAACGAAAGGCGGCTGTCTAGCTTGTTCGGTCGTAAATTGATCCAAAGAATCTCATCCAGCCATTTCTTAAAAGATGCCAGGGTATCTGCTTCAACAACATGGCTGGGTAGCTTGTTGCATCCCTTTGTTTAAAGAAGTGACTCCTGGTCTCGGTATCAAATGCACTTCTTGGAGCTTCCACGTGTGTCCTCTTTTTCCTGTTTCACTGTCAATCCTGAAGAAGTCTGTTGGGTCATGTTAGAAAGCATTAATTGCCAGAACACTCTTTGAGTGTTGCTGATTATGCGATGGCCAATCAGAATTGGTTTACTGGTCGCTTTCTTGTACATAAGGTTGATTAACCGTGCTTTCGGCGTTTAGCATTGTCAGATTTGTAACATCCTCAGTGTCAACTTGTACAGTCAGACTTGCTCCAGTACATACTATATGCTTCTGGTTTCCTGGTTTTGGATCTTTGGCATAGACTCCCAGTTATTCCTGGTCCCGAACTTCTTCGTGAATCCTTCTCCATGTTTCTGGGTTGCAAAGTTCCTGGTCCTGGTTTACTCCATGGGAATGGCCTTGTATCTGGTTCCTGGTGACAGATGTCTTCGTATGGAGCAGTGCTGGTTTTGGGATGTGGTTGCTGAAGTCTAGTTTTGGAGGGTCTCAATGTTTTGTCTTACGCCTGTATTTGATCTTGAAAGTCCTGATATCCTGTTTGCCTGATATCCTTGACCTTAGACTGTGTTTTAGACAATGTTATTGTGTTATTTTCCATGGGTTTGTTATTACAAATTTTGTATTCAAATGTATGTTCTTACTACAGTCTTGGTTCTAGCCCTTTAAGGTCTTCCACTGTGCTGAATAGGGTCTAAGCTCTTTAGGGGTTTCTAATGTGGAATACCTAAAAGGTCGATTTTGTTGATAGCTGTGAGGATTCTGAAAACTTTAATATAGAATAGAGATACATACTGGTAAGCTCTATGCTTTATCTATACATTTTTATAAATCAATACAGAAATAATGGTTTAAGCCAGTGGTTCTCAAACTGTTTGGACCAAGTACCACCCCTAATCCAAACAAAGCATCCAAGTACCACCTACAAGTCATCATCTCATAGGAACCCCAGAAATTCTCAATGACACACTCACACATACATATAATAAATATTTTAATAATAAACTTTGATATAGCGCCTTAAAATGTGGCTTCTCAAAGCGTTTTACAGAAAAAAAACAGTTTAAAAAATTAAAAAGTAGAAAAAAACTTTTAAAAATCAACTTAAAATAAGCAACAATAACACATTAAAAGAACCATGCACAAACAATACAAATAGCACTGAAATTATATTTTAAAAAATCAAGTAAAAGCAAGAGTAAAAAAATTAGTTTTGAGTACCCGTTTAAAAATATCCACAGAGCCAGCCTCTCTCATATTTTTAGGAATACTATTCCACGGTTTGGGTGTGTAGTAGCAAAAGGCTGCCTCTCCTCTATCATTCTATGCTTAATTTTTGGAATAATCTTTAAAAGTCGTACACTTGTTGCACTCACCTTGATGGAATTTACAGTATGAAAAGCTTCATCCATTACTTGTTTGAGTTTGGGGGGCATTTTCTTAGCCTTGATGGCTTGTCTATGAATCATACAATGCGCTCAACAAAGCGAACAGAGCAACGGCCGTAATTTTCATGACTAGCCCACTGTGTTTGCCAGTCATAGCTCGTGCA